GAGTAAATTCTAAGTTTTGAAAAGAAAATTCTAAGTTTGAAGAGTAAATTCCAAGATTTGAAGGGTAAATTCGATATTTTTGAAGAGTAAATTCTAAGTTTTGAAGAGTAAATTCTATGTTTCGAAGAGTAAATTCTAGTATTTGAAGAGAAAATTCTAAGTTTGAAGAGTAAATTCCAAGTTTTGAAGAGTAAATTCGATATTTTGAAGAGTAAATTCTAAATTTTGAAGAGTAAATTCTATGTTTCGAAGAGTAAATTCTAAGTTTTGAAGAGAAAATTCTAAGTTTGAAGAGTAAATTCCAAGATTTGAAGAGTAAATTCGATACTTTGAAGAGTAAATTCTAAGTTTTGAAGAGTAAATTCTATGTTTCGAAGAGTAAATTCGATGTTTTGAAGAGAAAATTCTAAGTTTGAAGAGTAAATTCCAAGATTTGAAGAGTAAATTCGATGTTTTGAAGAATAAATTCTAAGTTTTGAAGAGTAAATTCTATGTTTCGAAGAGTAAATTCTAAGATTTGAAGAGAAAATTCTAAGTTTGAAGAGTAAATTCCAAGATTTGAAGAGTAAATTCGATATTTTGAAGAGTAAATTCTAAGTTTTGAAGAGTAAATTCTATGTTTCGGAGAGTAAATTCTAATATTTGAAAGAAAATTCTAAGTTTGAAGAGTAAATTCCAAGATTTGAAGATTAAATTCGATATTTTGAAGAGTAAATTCTAAGTTTTGAAGAGTAAATTCTATGTTTCGAGGAGTAAATTCTAAGATTTGAAGAGAAAATTCTAAGTTTGAAGAGTAAATTCCAAGATTTGAAGAGTAAATTCGGTATTTTGAAGAGTAAATTCTAAGTTTTGAAGAGTAAATTCTATGTTTCGAAGAGTAAATTCTAAAATTTGAAGAGAAAATTCTAAGTTTGAAGAGTAAATTCCAAGATTTGAAGAGTAAGTACGATATTTTGAAGAGTAAATTCTAAGTTTTGAAGAGTAAATTCTATGTTTCGAAGAGTAAATTCTAATATTTGAAGAGAAAATTCTAAGTTTGAAGAGTAAATTCCAAGAATTGAAGAGTTAATTCGATATTTTGAAGAGTAAATTCTAAGTTTTGAAGAGTAAATTATATGTTTCGAAGAGTAATTTCTAATATTTGAAGAGAAAATTCTAAGTTTGAAGAGTAAATTCCAAGATTTGAAGAGTAAATTCGATATTTGAAGAGTAAATTCTAAGTTTTGAAGAGTAAATTCTATGTTTCGAAGAGTAAATTCTAAGATTTGAAGAGAAAATTCTAAGTTTGAAGAGTAAATTCCAAGATTTGAAGAGAGTAAATTCGATGTTTTGAAGAGTAAATTCTAAGTTTTGAAGAGTAAATTCTATGTTTCGAAGAGTAAATTCTAAGATTTGAAGAGAAAATTCTAAGTTTGAAAGGTAAATTCCAAGATTTGAAGAGTAAATTCGATATTTTGAAGAGTAAATTCTAAGTTTTGAAGAGTAAATTCTATGTTTGCAACAGTAAATTCCAATATTTGAAGAGAAAATTCTAAGTTTGAAGAGTAAATTCCAAGTTTTGAAGAGTAAATTCGATATTTTGAAGAGTAAATTCTAAGTTTTGAAGAGTAAATTCTATGTTTCGAAGAGTACATTCTAATATTTGAAGAGAAAATTCTAAGTTTGAAGAGTAAATTCCAAGATTTGAAGAGTAAATTCGATATTTTGAAGAGTAAATTCTAAGTTTTGAAGAGTAAATTCTATGTTTCGAAGAGTAAATTCTAATATTTGAAGAGAAAATTCTAAGTTTGAAGGTAAATTCCAAGATTTGAAGAGTAAATTCGATATTTTGAAGAGTAAATTCCAAGTTTTGAAGAGTAACTTCGATATTTTGAAGAGTAAATTCTAATATTTGAAGAGAAAATTCTAAGTTTGAAGAGTAAATTCCAAGATTTGAGAGTAAATTCGATATTTTGAAGAGTAAATTCTAAGTTTTGAAGAGTAAATTCTATGTTTCGAAGAGTAAATTCTAATATTTGAAGAGAAAATTCTAAGTTTGAAGAGTAAATTCCAAGATTTGAAGAGCAAATTCGATATTTTGAAGAGTAAATTCTAACTTTTGAGAAGTAAATTCTATGTTTCGAAGAGTAAATTCTAATATTTGAAGAGAAAATTCTAAGTTTGAAGAGTAAATTCCAATATTTGAAGAGTTAATTCGATATTTTGAAGAGTAAATTCCAAGTTTTGAAGAGTAAATTCGATATTTTGAAGAGTAAATTCTAAGTTTTGAAGAGAAAATTCTAAGTTTGAAGGGTAAATTCCAAGATTTGAAGAGTAAATTCGATATTTTGATGAGTAAATTCTAAGTTTTGAAGAGTAAATTCTATGTTTCGAAGAGTAAATTCTAATATTTGAAGAGAAAATTCTAAGTTTGAAGAGTAAATTCCAAGATTTCACGATGGTCGGTTGCTATGCAGTTTGCTCCCGGAGTCAATTTGCGATTGTTGTTAGTTTCCGGTCTGCTAGCTGTGATTTAAGGCGCGGTTAAAATACCACGTCTTTAGCGCACTCGTTTGCGTTTACTTTCAAACATTTTTAAAACAATACTTGCCCAATTAGTACTTACTTGAACCGTTTAAAGATATCGCAGCGCAAACTAGTCACAGGACAAATGCAAAGCGGTAAATTATGGTGTTATTATGGGCATGTATTTTCGCATTCCAGTCGAAGGATATCCCGCCCACAAGGACAAATTCTACCGTCTAGGGGTCCCACAGCACCACACGTGTGTGCCCTACAATCTCCCTTTGAAAACCCCCCTGGATTTATAGCATTGCCAGAATTATAAGCGAAAATAGCTGAAAATTACGCATTTTTCGTTTTATTTTTCAAATATTTTTGCTAAAACGTAAATCTGGAGACACTTCCCAAATCAAAGTTGAAGAATATCATTTATTGAAGAACTTCTAATGGTTAGCAGTAACGAAGAAAGGTGAGGAGAAAATATCCTTCGGCAAACTCATTTGCATTATTAGCGTATTCGTGACTCGCCATATTGTTGCTTCACCACCCGCTGTCTTGTCTTTCTAACTCGATAGATTATTGCTGTAAAAGTCAAACGTGTGATGGAAATAAAGGAAATCCAGCAAAATCCAACAAACAGAGACCACTAGCGGATAATTTTTGGAAAAAATCTCCATTCTTTAAGCTCAGAGAAGGCGAAGGAGATCTGTCACGCAAGTCACGCGAGGTTCATACTGTAGGCCTACTAAAATAAACTGAGTTTAATTGAGCTTGGCATTGGAACCCGGCTTAATTAAGTTACTAAATAGTATAAGCTGTAGAACGGCTGCATATTTATAAGTTGATTGTCAGTTTAATATAATATGTGATATCGAAATATTAAAATTACAACATAGGCCACAAGTTGTAGGTTTTTGTTTAAAAGGCAGTCTGATTATATAAACCTATTAACTAATAGTAGCCAACACTTACCGGCCCATTTCAGGGGTAGAATTATCTGGTGTTTATAGCCTAGATATCGTAAAATGCGAAAGCAGGGTGTATACACGATACATCAAGGGCCATAAAATGAGACTGATAGCTGAAACAGTAGATTTATCTGCATGTATTCTTGTATTCTCATATTTGTTTACTTCGCCTCATACTGCGTGCCTTGAGTTAGCTGGTTTCTTTACTTCGATAAAAGCT